AAAAAGTTGTTATAGGTACAAAATTGCTGCATAATTTGAATTTCTTTTTTAATAACAATTTTTAGGTAAGTTAGCTGAAGTGTTGCAAAAACAAAAACAAGAAAAAAGAAACCCCAAACCCACAAATGTTTATCTACTTTGAACAATATCTGTCATCTCTTGGTAAAATCCCTTTTATGCATTCCTGGTCCACAAACCCTTTATAATCTGTTCTCTGATATACTGCCTCACAATCTGCCTTTGCGTGATCCGTACTTGCATTCCCCTTTAATACAGACACAAGTAGTTACACAGTTTACAGCTTCCTTGGAATCAACAAAAAATTAAGACTATGATGTTCTCTTTTTGTCCAGGTCACCTGGAATGAGTTTTCATAACTTACTGTATGCAAGAGATTCACAAGCACACTGACATTTATTTTCTTTGAACTTTCATGTTAGAATCAGATCCAGATCAACCAGGAGGTTTATGTTAAATCAAGAGCAGCAAAGAGCAATAGCTGCTCTTTCTTCATGAAAGCTTGAATTAGGAGGTATCTATCTGGAGAGATGTCATTACATTCATGCAACAGATACTAGAAGGACAGTATGAGCTTTTGCACTATCCCAACTTTTGGCATGCTTTCTAGATGGCCCTGCTTTACATCCCACACAGACAAATATGATATTAAAAAAAAAAAACCAAAGCAGAAAAGTCCAAATAGAACTATATGGAATGAAGCAACATAAATCTGGTCCTTTCTTCTCAAAATAATTTTCTTTTCTAAAACTGAAACTTGGATACATCTCACTCTTTTAAAAACACCTTAGCTGAAAAACAGACAGGCACCTCTGGTAGACTAAGTCTGATTTTGGAAATACCCTTTCCTCTCCAGCAACTACACAGCAAACATGTACAACAAGGCTGTTAAAGCACAGCTGAGTCCTCCTTGACATCTGTGCTGTTCTGTAAAACACTGGGGATCACCAAAACTCTGTTACAGTAGCCGAAGGTAGATGTCACTTGTTACTATTTTTCAAAAAAAAATGTATGAATTCAACTGGGCAGCAATTAAGTCATATTTGTGGGCAGTCTGAGATCCATTAGCATATGGTGAAAACCAGTGGGCAGGAAAGGATGCATTGCAGTTGAGATGCACTTCAAAGTTCTCTAGGAAATAGCAGAGCCACTCACAGAGGAGAGAAAAAAAAAAGGCAGTAAGTATCTCTGAAATAGGTGGATTATAAGATGAGCTAGAAAGGAGGACTGCAAAGGACTCAAAAGACTGGCCACAGTTGTTTGATTTTTTTTCCCTCATGCTGACTATCAGACACTTACACTTCAGAGCACCTCTCAGAATCACAGCATCATAGAATTATTAGGTTGGAAAAGACCTTGGAGATCATCAAGTCTTACTTCCTCACTTGTTATATCCATAAAGGGAAAGTTTGGTCAAATCGTTAGATCTTTGTGGGACAATACTAAGTACATAAATTCTCATTCAACTTTGTTTTCAGGGCAAAAATTAGCTCTGGGCAATCAACCTCTTAAACAAAAGCTCATTGCTATGCTCCTGCCTGCATTATGCTGAGACTGAATTACCTCTCTGAAATACAATCAGGATATGTTCTCATGTTTGAGCCTCTCTTTGTCAAAACATGGTATTATCCTAGACATTCGTTTTTCTACTTGCTCAAAATATGGTGCAATGAAGAGAAAATCTCTGGAAAAGCTTTGCAAGAGCAAATGCTTACCATTTACAAAAGGCAGACTGTGAAAGTATTTGAAACTGAGTAAATAGCCAGGCTCTTTGACGAAGTCTTGATGTTTCTAGGGACATGACTTACCAGAGCTTTCTGGAAATTTCCAAGCAGGCCAGGGCAACCTATAAACAGAGGATGCCTGCCCGAGAAAGGATCTTCCCAGGACCTGGCTGCATATTCTAAGACGTCAAGGAAACAGAAGTGGGAGGCTTTCAGAGCAGGGTAGGGGAAGGAGACGCATTTTGGCGCAGTGGCAGTCACAGTCAACTTTCCCATAGTGGAAGTATATCTAAAAAAATGTACCCAGTCACATTTAGACAAAGTCTACATTGGCACACAGTGTTGGCCAAACAGAAGTGTGAAAGAGTCAATCTGCACGACATCCTCAGGACCTGACATCTACATTATTTATATTCCCAGCTCACTCTGAGTTTAGTCCTGGGACCTGAACATTCATTTATGGTTGTAGCACATCAAGTGCAGGACGCACAAGAGTGTGTCTTCTTGTTCAGTTTCACCCAAAGGGAACCCAGCCCTGCCACGTGAACCACAGCTCCATGAGTGGGGAGTGCCAGGAATTTCACTTAAAAAGCCCATGCCTGGTCTAAACTGAGATCCTAACAACACAAGCAGTTTGGTCTTCAGTTCAATAGAACTTCTGCAAAGAGTTAAGACATTAGAAATCTTAAAAGAACTTCTTTGTAAGATTTATAATGTGTGTATGTAAAGATTTCTTATTTTTTGTGTAGATTCAATCATTCATCCTATACATTAACCTCTATAATCAGGACACCTAAAACTCACTGCATTGTTACTATTAGAGTGGTTATATTTCTGCATAAGAAAATCACTCTAGAACAAAAGATCTAAAAGCAGTCTTGACCTCTGCTTCTAAAGGGATTTTTTTTTTCAATCAAATCTAACAAATTTCATTGAAGAGATCTATGTGGTGGACAAATGACATGAAAACAATTTCAAAAGTTTTATGTTATTTTCTGTTCTATCTTCTCCTCTGTGTACACTCAAATATAATCTACACTGACACATTTCGGATCAATCTTTTCAGTGTAAGAGTGTACAATCTCTGATCTAAATACTAACTACAGATATGTAGCCTCCAACTCCTGGAAATTTTTCCACATGACATTTTACTGAAAACCGATTGTTTTTGTCAGGTTTCTGTTCCAAACCTCTAGAAACATCCCACCATAGGTTGAAAAACACCTAACATGAATGTGTCTAAAACATAAACACTATATAATACCTTTACAAATATAATACAACTTCAAGGAAAAGCAAAATACAGCAGTACATCAGGATGTTTAAACCCAGCACAGCATCCATCAGTTCTTACTGGCATCCTTGAACATCTGTGGATGCCAGAATACCCATCTACAACGTTCAAGAGTGAAAAGTTATTTTGGGCGCTTGACTTAGACACCTTAATCAGGCCTGATAGCAGAATGTGGGTATGACACTTTTATAAAATTACCATCTTTTAAAGAAATGGAAATAATAACTAATAATAATAATAATAAAAAGAAAACAGAAAAAAATCTAAGGGATTGAAAATCCCGAATCAGGTCAGCCTTGTTTTAGAAGGCTAAGGATTTCTAGAAGAAACGATACACCCAGTGCCTCCACACATTCCCCTTCTACCACGAGCTCTCCCCCAACTTTAGATACATGTAACATCCTTTCTGCTCACCTGGAACTGCTCTCAGTATGTGGCACTTTCTAACAAGCCTTCACGGCCTTTAAGAAAATGTCAAGCTATGTTAACACATATTTTAAGGGTCCAGGCCCACTGTCTGTAACCTAAAATTTGTGGACTGGCTAAGAAAAAATGCTCCCTTCCAGGCTCTATCTTAACAAGCTAAACATTCACCAAAGGTGAGACCCTCCATCCTTCCATAGCTCCATATCCTGCATAGGGTGGCAACCAAAGAGAAGGAAATGAAAAGCAATTTCCAAGCAGGAAGTTGGAAAAGTCAGCCAGGGGCCAAGCGCATGGAAGGGGAAATTGGCAGTTGGCATAGGGTTAAGTACATGAGTATGACGGGAGTCCCTTGGAGCAAGGAGCCTGAAAAATGGGAATAAAGTAGCTCTTGCTGCCAGGGAAACATTATACAAACTCCATGCTACGTATAAGTAGCTATTATTATTTATCATTATATCTTATATATTATTATATCTATTATTATTTCATTGTTTTATTTTTTTACAAAGGCAAACATTTTATATTTCACAAATGGAAACAGACAAACAAAAGCAGATCTCCAACCCTGTTCCTATTAGACAATTCTAGATACCCACTAATGCAAATAAATTCATTATAGCATTAACATTTGAAAAATATAAATAAAAAACACAGGCTTTTCTTGTCAGCCTGATTCCCCTGCTGAGTTAACTATCATCAGTTACTAGGAAGAGTCTGTAAGCAAACAAAATTAAACTGATACAAAACAAGCGTAAATGCATGATCAAACTGTGAGCGAGGGAAACTCTCGAGGGGTTCCAAAACGAGGGACCCAAACCCACATTTGAACATGGAAGAAATAAGAGGACAAGTTCAGCGAAAGCATCATTCGACACCAAATAATTGGAAGAGTAATTTTGGCTACAGGAAACATACTCAAGGTCTGGGCACAGGTCAACTGTTTCACAAAACTGTTAACATTGCTCAAGCCTGAAATGGATGCTTTT